TCCCATTAAAATCATATTGAGACTATTTACGTTGTGATTTCATATTTTAGAATGTGAAATAATATTATAAGAAAAATATGTGGCAACAGATGTATCAGGGATAAAATAAATAAATACATAAAGCTTCCTGTCTGTAACTCCCTCTGCTACCACCAGAGGGAGAAGTAGATTTTCTTTTATCAACATAATTTAGGGGCAATACATTTTTGTTTGCTCCTAACTCAGTTAGCATTGGCCTTAGAGCCTGAAGGTCGTGGGTTCAAGCCCATCACAAGACCTACCTCACAACTCCCACTGATAACTGCTGTCGTTGTGTCCTTGGGCAAGACACTTAACCCCACTTTGCCTGAAGCCCCCACTGAATAATCAAAGCTCCTGTGGACTCAGCACCTGCAGGAGGATCAGTGAGGGGCTGGTGCTCTGTGTACTAGGGGCATCTCTGACTGACACCCCCCCCCCCCCCCCCCCCCCCCCCCCCGGGCCGGAAATGGATTAAGGGGAAGAAGATGGATGGATGGACATTTTTGTTTTAAAGACAGAAAACTGCTCTGAGCGTGATGTCATCATGGATGGATCTAAAAACACACCAGGTCTGTTTAAAGTATTTTAGTATATATATATATATGTATCCATGCTGTGTACAGTATGTAGAATACATACACCAGAACATAAATAACAATAGAGAGAGAGAGAGAGGACGGAGGTGTGCTGCATGTTTGTACCATGATGCCACTGTGCCAAGGTGCACCCTGCTCTGTCTGAGATGGAACAAAGGCACAAGGAACGGAAACTAACCACTAAAAAGACAGCACTCCGCGGCTCGCCTCGCAGGCTACACACCGCTGACATGTTCTTTTTATCATCCACTTCAACCACAACGGCCTGACCACAAACTACAGCTGCTGTCACACTTAGAGAGAGAGGGAAAGAGACAAATTCTACATCGCCACACTTAGAGAGCGATGCATCGGGGGAAAAGGCTGAAAGGACCGGGAAATGTAAGAATGTTTCTGCACATGCTGAAGTAAGATCTAGACCATATCACAGAGTTCCAATTCAGTCAGAAGACGACCAAGCTCCCACAGATGCCTTCACACAATCAAGGAAACGTGTGAGGCATTTACGTAATCAAGTCTCCCAAACAACTATTCTGCATTTTGCACAATAACGAATAGTTTATTTCACAATCAGTCTCCAAAGTGTTACAGAGAATACGTGCCACAAACACACATGTTACAGATTCAAATAAACAGAAAAATAGATATATTGATGTTATGAACTAGTACATACATGTATGGAGCTCCTCGGTGCAAGCATGGGTCAATAGAATTTGTCCATGGATGAATTTAAAACATTTCCAAACATTCTCGGTGCTGCATATTTCACCAAAATAGTGATTTTTCCAAATGCCGTGAATTTTTTTTTGGAAAGTTCAAAATATGTGAAGGATGTTCCACTCAGTTCTGCCAAACAACTCCGTCAGTGACCGACAGTGACTACATCTCTCTGGCCCTGTCACTAAGCACTTACCGTAAGTCTGTATATTTCTTTTACGCTCATACTGAAAATAAATGCTTTATGGTTTACCAAACGCTTTACTAATGTATTAGTAAGGTAAAACTAATGCAGTCTAAACCCTGCACAATTTACCTACATTGCAAACATTTATGAAAAAGTAAAAAATGCTAAAATTTGGCTAAATGTGTTTTAATTTGAGCACATGTTGACTGCCTTAAAACAAGATTTGCCAGTGGGTTGGGCACAATTATCTTTATTATCTAAAAAGATATGTCTCCCTTGGAAGGAGAAAAACATTTCTTGGTATAAAACTAAATGGCTTTGTCCCATTTGTGAATCTTGTTTTAAGACAATATTAACAAAAACACTTGATTTAAGCATTTATTACCTCGTATTTGATCATTTTTGCAGTCCAACACATGTTGCCTATATTGAACAAGTGCTTCACAATGACAGGAAGAGCCACCATTGAAAGATCAAAAACTCTTGATGGTACAGTATGCCCCATGGTTCACAGAGGCCTCGGGATGGAAACCGTTTCCTGGATTCTCCAAGTTCCCCTTCCTGGTCTCCAGTTCCGAGTACATAGTTCCAGGTGACCGGCCAAACCGAGCGCACCTCTGGTCAAGGCAGATGTAGAACTATAAATGCAATATCTGAAACAGCTGTTCCTTTCACATTGAGCAGCACGGCCTATCCTCCTCAAGCTGAACATCTGATGCAAGTCAAAACAACACACCTCCATTCCACACTGTTGTTCTAGGTAGACATGTCAAATCAAAACCTGAAGCAGATAAAGGCATCAGCCGTCATCAGTATACGGGGATATGATTTTAGTCGTAATGGGCACTCATAAATGTGGGGACTTTATCACGTGAAAGCCACAATCGGCTGCTGCCACGTTTAGGAGGGAGATGGAGCGAGGAGCAAAGATAAGAAAGGAGTGATAGGAGGACAAAGGCAGATGGACAGAGAGAGAGAAAGAAAGAAACAACATCAATCACTTCCACCACAATCAGGCAACCAGATACAACCACACACTTAGAAACGTTGAGAGAGAGGGAGAGAGAAAGACTGGATGATACTGCTAAGGGAGAGAGACGAGGGGAGGGGAACATGCATTGCTGTATTTAGTCACTGGCAACTCGATTGGGTTGAATACTTCTTGATATTAGCTTGCGTTTTAGAGACTGCTTAATAAACAATATGTGTGAAAGTATCTGATTTTCAAAGGCACATCTGGTAATATCTTCGAGCAATAATATTCCCTGGTACATCAGATGGGTTTGGTCTCTCTCTGTTATGGAATGACTTGGTAAAAAGATTAAAGAATGTTTTAGCCTCAGAAGTCATTCAGAGAAAATCACCCACTCTGACAACAGGCTTTCTAAAAACTACAGTCAGTACAGTTACGTTCGGAGGGCTCGGAACAACTTCATTTGTCTTTGCCCTCAAGCTGCTGCTCAGATCACTCTTGTCAAAGTCTGCAGCGGGTCAAGACAGTGAATCAATCTGATCCGGGATGTTAAGAGATGTTCAGGTGATGTAATCGCACATTCATGAAAGAGGAATTGGTAAGAAAAAGACATTTCAGATTTCATTTGTGGCACGTTCTACTTAGTTGAAAACATGCTTTATTTGTGGATTTAAAGTGTCTTTTCAAATTGTGAAGATGGAGACATTCATGTTAATACCAGTGCACAGGGTCCTGATTCATATCCTTGACAGACCGTTGAGGCCCCTCACCATTCTCCATATTGTTTTGTTCAAAATTAAATTATTAATTATTATTAATATGTGTCGACTCTAGTCAGATGCTAAAGTCAGTAGACCTGTTTTGAAACCGATCTGTGAAGCATAAGTGCAACGACCTTGGTCCAGGTTAAATAACTCAGAACATAAGTGTGAACGAGTCCTCTGATGAGTCTAAAAAAGATGTCCAAACATCTCTCTAGAGAAGATACTTCATCCAGATGACTACTGAGAATTGGACAACTGAGAATTGGAGGTATTATTTTTACCAATAATGCTCAAGATACATAGACACAGTTCTGGTCCTAAAACGAAGTCTTTGGGACAGGTAGATGGAGACTTACCAAGGAACAAAAACGAAGAACACGGGGAAGATAAAAGGACACAGATATACGTGGTTAGAAAAATTCTGAAAGAAGTCGATGAGACAGAGCAAAGGAAAGAGTATCCTCCGCCACATTGCACAAATTCACAGCCCTTATATAACTGTCTCCTCTGGCTAGAACCAGACAAATTCTACATCCCACAGTGCACCTCAAGAACATGCTAATACTAAAATACAAAAGTGCGATGAGAGACGAAACCGACGTCCTCATGGAATACAGCTTTGTGATGAAATACAACTAAATATTTCCATAGTCCAAAGTAAAAGTCATTTAGTCTCCCCTCCGGAGCCGGGGGAGTGGTGTGGGCAGAGATGGGCTCTTATAACCCATTTCCCTAATTCCCATGTTAGCTACACTTCATTTCATGAGATATCTTTCGTCTTGGGCACGGCCTGCTGTGGTGTCCCGTAAAAAACATGCACCAGATGCAGGAATCTATCTCTGTCAGGAAAAGGTTAGACCAGAAAGAAGAGAAGAAAACAGGGTAGGCCCAAAGGAGCAGGGATACTGCAGCTGGAGCCCAAAACAAATGGATGGAGGGTATTCAAATCCAAGAAGATGGGAAAGTAGATACAAGAATGTACTGTATGTGTGAAGTCGCTCGGTGGTTACGGATTATAGCATCTGCAAGTTCAGTGGCGAGGAAACAGATCCAATACTTCCAGAAAGCTGGGGGACCAAACTTATTTTAATCTCATAAATATTCCATTTCATGTTTCAACAAACAGAGTCTTGTGTTATGAACAAATCAGACCATTTCATCTTAAATAGAAAAAAACCCAGCATTTTTTTGCATATACTGTAATAGTCATATAAGAGTTTGCCTGAGTCACATCTGGCCTGAGCTGATTGGCTCTGAGTTAGCGTTTGGATTGGTTTGGAGCTACTCAAACTCAGATACAATCGTTTCCATCTGCAAAAGGAGTTACCCCCCCCCCCCCACCTGTAGACGGAGCTCAATGGAACATATCCAGACCTAAGTACGAAATGAAATTAGTATGATGGTATGGTAAGACCAGGCTTAGGTGATCCTCCTTTTTTCCTTTGATATGATTTAAAGATGAGACCAAAAATACATCATGTAGTGCTAGAACCAAACTGTTTTGTTAGACAGGTTCTAGTTACATAGATTTTATTACCGAGCTTGATCAGGTGTGATTTGAAATGTAGGTTCCCCCAACTTTAAGTTTAAAAATATAAATAGATTTACTGAAAAAAGTAGTTGTCAAAGCCTTGAGTTCACGGTCAATCCAAGATATCACACCACAGTTTCCAATCGTATTAACAAAAAAAACACTGGCCTGTTGACAAACCGCTGCAGCCCACTGAGTCCATCCAAGACTATCACAGGTTTTCGCAAAAGCCCAAAGTGACTGGTGCAAATCTTCCACCCTCCTCCTCCTCCTCCTCCTCCTCTTCCTCCTCCTCTTCCTCCTCCTCCTCCTCTTCCTCTTCCTCCTCCTCCTCTCCTATCTCCCCCTGCTCTCCCTGCTCTCTCTGCTCTCGAGTCTTTTTCTGGATCGGCCCGACGGTAATGTCAACAGAGATTTCACGCCACAGTGCCAATACATCAGCCTGGCTCTCTCCCCCACTATACCTGTGATTTACATCAGAGGCAAGCGGGCTCATGGGGGATTTTCTGTGCCAAAGCAGCGGCGTGCGGAGCGGAGCCGGGACGGGGGGTGTGTGGGCTTCGGAGTCACCACCTCGGGGCGTGACGGAGGGAGCCCGTTTAACAATGGCAGGTCGAGGGATGTTTTTACAAGACGAGCTCCGTGGGTCTATCCGTGCTCTGCTCCTAAATGTCACAGTAAAAACCAGCGCTGCAGACGACTTTGATTTAAGCGAGAGCAGCGTGGACTGCACTGAAGGAATGTAAGGTCCAGGATCTATGCTGCATGTGTTGCATTGAGGCTTTAACACTAGGACTCCCAGAACAGTCAATTTGACGGCTTTTCATTTTGGAAGTGTGTTTACTTTTCCTATGGACGTCTTTAGTCTTCATACATTTTTGACTATTTCTGTATCTATATGTAGTTTATTTCTATAAATATGTTTATGAAATTATCTCGATCCTAGACTGGTTCTAGACGGTTTCAGAGCAGTATCAGCTTGGAGCATGTGCTAGTTACCATAGCAACACACTGTATCCACCAGTTAGTATTTAGTTTAGCTGTATCACAGTTATATTCACCAGTTTAAACATGTATTAAACAATAAAAAGCAGTGAGAAACTAAAGCAGTTTTTTGGGGATTTTTTATTAATCCATTAATATGAATGAGAAATGTCAAAATGAATGCTCTGGGAGTTCTAGTTTTAGAATTCTGGGAGTCCCATGTCAGACGTATTCTGTATTTTTGGCATTTAAAAAAAAGTGAAACTTTTTGTCATTTCATGTTTTAGAATGTGAAGCATTATCTCATGCAGAGAATAGATTAGTAAATTGACCACGTCACCACCACCAGTGAAGATGCATTAACGAGAAAAAAATAAAATCACAGAATTAGTTGCACTGATCTGGTCTGTGTTATTCTTCATTAAAACTGTGGATTTATTTCTAAACATTTGGACATGTCTGTGTGCAGTATCGTAACATTTCTCACTGTATTAAACCTTTTCTTTGTAAATGCATTCAAGCCGGCTATAGAAGACACGGCTTTATATGTTTTTATCAAAGCCACATTGTTACAGGTGCATAAGGAAGCGTTTACTTTACACACACAAGGACAAGTTTGCAGATAGCTCCTTGTTCTTCATCAGCAGGTGAAATAAATCCTGCACTGGAAATATGTAGAGCATTGAATACTCTGATGACTGCCGTGTCGCTTTCTTTCACCTTTTTATTCAAACTGACTTCTTTATACAACTTTATAATTCCCGTGAGAAGCACACATTTAACGGCAACATTTACAGGTAATGACGTCTGTTAATTATACAGGTGCAAATTACAATCGTGAACGTGAAACCAATTTATTACAGACTCATTCCAAGTGAGAAATATCAAGTCAATGTTATGTTATAATGTTCATAATTGTCTCACTTATTGTAAAAAAAATTTGATTTGGAATATTAGCCATTGTCTTGGCATATGTCATGTGATCACATGTTATTTTCACGTTGTAAGTCTAATTACAGAATAGATTTTTTGAATTCTATTTTCACCTGCGCAGTGCAAAAGGGATGTAAAAATACGTCAGAAATTGGTCAAATTTGGCAAAATGTATCTAAAAATTTGGGTAAATTTGACAAATTTGAGCAAATAGGAAAGAGCAAAAAGATACAAGCAAAACATGAAGAAATAAGGCAACAGTTCATGAAATAAGACTAAACGGCTTTGTCCCGTTTGTGAATCTTGTTTTAAAACACTCAGAATTTGCTCAAAATAACATAAAGAAAACCACTTGATTCAAGCTTTTATCTTTGATCAATGTTTCAGTAATTTGATAAACAGAATCAATTACAAAGTAAATGTTGCAGCCATGTTAGTACTTATATTCCTTACTTTTTTATTTTTAGTTAATCTGACACAGAAAGCATAGATAAAATGCAGTATAGTAGTTTGGTGCACACATCACAGTCCTTGTAGCCAAAGCTAATTCGTAGCACTTGTCCCTAAACGGGCTTCGAGGTACACAGCACTTGTTTACTTTTTACATGACCAAGATTTCTTAAGTATCGATTCAGACTGCTCTATCCACCACTGTGTTACACAAAGATATTACACGTTAGTTCATCTGCACAGCTCCTTTCAGATGGAAGAGAATTACTGAGGATTGCCTGGATCATTTGCCACACGCAGGCATTTGGTAACAACAACAACAACTCATTCAGCAAGCCACAATTCAACCAACAGTCTGTCCCCTTCAGGTAATACGTACTTGCTAATTCTGGCACGGAGAACCCACCTTTCTCTCACTAAGTCAATTACGTGGCTCAAATGAATGCTTACATCTGTTCATTTTCTGACAGTCCACAGTTTGTAATCCATTTATTAGCCCGCTCATAACAGCATGCCTGGACCCCGAAGCAGCAGACGAACGCCGGGGTCCTTGTCATGTCCGGAGCTAACGAGAGGGGACGTCACGGAGCTACAACATGCCATTTGTCTCCCATAATAAGACATGAGGGCTGGAGTGGTTTGAGGCAAGTCAGCATCTCCATACGGCCCTATTCCTGGAAACACAAAGCCGGAGCTAGTGCCAGGAAGCCCTCATGTCCAAATATGGATGGTCCAAATATCTATATAAGGACGGAGATGTGTCTGCAGGGCTCTGTGTTGCATAATGTGGCGCCTCAACTATACAAGAGTGTGGGTTTGCCTGCATTGATAGTTTGATTGTGCTATTAGGTGCTATTTAAAAAGAATATATATAAAGGATGAAAGCTGGGGCACTGAGGCCGTGGTTCTGAATTAACCTGAAACATGGCTGGCCTGTAAAATATAAGATCGACAGAGTTGCATGGGCAAAGAATCAATGATGTAGGGAGTATCAGACTGGATTCTTAGTTGAAGGTCTAACTAAGAACCAACAGCATCTCAGTGAAATACAAACATTGAACAGGGTTTAGAGAGTGTCTTTTTGGGTCTTTTGTAAAATTTAACAGGACAGTCCAGTAGGAAACACACAACATTGACTGCTTCAAAATGTGCACCCTAGCAAGCATTTCCAGTGGTCTAGGTCTCACTGTTGTCATGAAGGAGGCCAGTTGGTGTAGACCTCACAAAAGCATCCTTCCATGTACGGTCATTTTTCCTGTTTGTTTGTCCCAACAGCAAGAGTCTATTCAAGGCTTTGGGCTTAGAGCGTATTGGCTGAGTGAGCTTTCACGTTTCTAAAAACAGAGGCCAAAAATTCAAGCATGTGAAAACTGGTGATACTAATCCAAATGTTTTAAGAGAGAAAATCAAATTATGTGGATTGTATAATTAGTTACATCTATTGTGGTTTTAAAGATGGATAAACCAGTTATGTCTTCAACAAATCAGAGCAATTAGAGGTGAAAATGTTAACTACAGTAAAGTTATGGATAATTGGAATTTAGATGAACTCTGACAAGAGTGTTTCAGGTCAAGTCCTGAACAGATTTGGTTTTGTCCATTCCTTTTCACGTGTTGCTTCCTGGCCATGCCTTTTGACAAAGTACCGTCCTTCATTTAGGTTACAAGAAGAGTGGCTATAAATATAAACAATATAAACAATGAAGTGAATACACATTTAAAATGTAGAGAAAGCCCCTTACACCTGTTTGGTGCCAAACTGCTTTGGCGACGCTGACAGAAGTGAGTCTGAGGTTCAAATGGAGCAAAGGGGTCAAGTGTTTTGCAGACGATATTTACTTCAGCGTGTTTTGTTGTAAAACTGTCGTGAAAGAGATTCAAACTTGATTTGTTCCAATACAGACAGATGGTTAAAGCTCTTGTCTCGCAGCAAGAAGGTCAGAGGTCTGAATCCCAGGCGGCACATTCTGAGCGGAATTTGCATATTCTCCCCGTGTCCTCTGGGTGTTCCTGGTTTCCACTACTGCCAAAAGGTTATGTATAACCGTAGTGTGGTGACTTGAAAAATACACACATTTTATAGCGCTTTGAGCGATCCTGGTCTGTGAAAAGAGCTATTTAAACCAAGGTTGCTTACTTACCTACTATACAGCAGGAAGTTGGAATCCTTTTGTTTCATGGTCCTGTTTCGGCCTTATGTCCAGCTTCTGTGTGTAAATGACTTGTGGTTGTTTCCAGGTGTGTGTAACTCTTACAACGTGAACGTACCCAGACCTCATGAGGAGCGGTTACTCTGCGTCTTACTCTGCACGTTCTGCTTCTACTGCGGCCGACAGTGAGATGGATGCTGCTTGTCACACCTGTCTGCCTCTGCTCCGGCCTGACGCGATGGGGTCACGGGGAATGCGCCCGAACACTCATCAATCTCCGGCATTGTCCAACGCTCTTTCAGCTCCGGCAAATCTTCTTCCAATATCCATTTAGTGTCTGAAGATCTTGACAAAAATGCTTACAAGCACACACAGACCGAGCCCCGGCCCGTTGACTGCACCGCCAGCGCACAGATGGGCAAACAATGATCGTAACGTGACGATGAGTGATGAAGAAGTTGTTAAGCCGGTGAAATGAGTGCCCTGGAAATATTTAGGTCAAAAAGTAGCTGATCTAAATTTGGAAAATAAAAGATGGTGGATTATTTTTGGATGCCATTTCGTTGTTTTGGTTGAAGAAGGCCAGGGGTGCAAAAGGCAGATCCACCGACATCTATTTTATCGTATCTGATTTTGTATTATGTTGATTACTGATGAACCACCATAGCATGTTGTACCACATTTGAAAAATAGTTTTCTCAGGAATACAATCCTATAAATGCATGTTACTCTAAATGCACTAAAACCCCACTACACTTAAACAAATAAATACATATCTGAGAAAACTTCACATTTTCATCTTTAAAATAAACCTATTCCTATAAAAATCCATGTATAAATGAGTAAATAAACTTGAAACATTGTTGGCATTATCCCATACCCCAGGTTTATTTGCTGCCCTAAAAATCAGCCAAATTAAAGTGGTCATTGTCCAGTCAAACGTCAACAGTATTAGAAAACCCACATTGATAATGTGATTATTACAGGGAAGAATGTGTTTTTTTCGTGTCAGACTGAGAAGGCTTTCGGGATAGAATATGAAAAGTTGTAGCAATGTCCGATTTACTAAAACCTTAAAAGAGGCACAGGTTTGAATAATACATAACCGGTGGCTGTCTTCCACATGTCAAACTTTCTCAGACAGTTTTGCAGACGTGCAGGCGGTATGTGTGATCCCTTTAGAGATCTGTCCAACTTTAAATCCACTCTGTGAGGATGACATCGTTATTAGGCTGTCAGGAGCAGAAATTCAATTTGGTGCATTCCCATAGGCTTCAGTCAAGTGCGTGTGAGCAAATGCCATTGTGTTCTCTGCATCCTGGCTTTAAAATTCACATCACAGCCATTTGGAAGGACAAGCCATAGAGACACAAGCCCGAATCAACTAAACAAAACCAGTGGGAGGAAACAGGTGACCACTTCCAGGTGAAATGTGGAACACTGTGAATGACCGTCGGGGATCTGAAAATATTGGACATTGTTTTGTTCACAAACCCATAGAATCCATTTGAATGTTGCACCAATTTCAATATCAACAACAAAAGAAAATAACCTCCTGGCGTCAAACTCATGCCATTCTGCAAAGCCAGAAAAGTAATTTTTATCATTTTGGCTTGTGCCGGCTTTTGCCTTTCCCCTGACAGCAGCATCAGACTCTCCAGTGTGCTAATGGGAGCACGGGGTAAAGCAGATCAAACAAAAATCAAACTAAATATTATTTGCTGGTATTATTTTCTTTCTTTTTTACTTAAACTCTTTCCAAGGCACGCACAGGATATAAAATATTAATGTGGAAAAATAGAATTAGATGCCACATGCAAGATCACTTCTAAGCCCAGAAACTCATTCATGTGTTGTTTATGCTGGTCAACTCATATGCTCGGCCACGCTTCTACATTCCTGAAAAAGGATGTTGTCGGGACACGTCTGGTTTATTTTTAATTATTTATTCAACTGAGCGTAGTTACTGGGGAAGCTGAAAGGCTCAGCGAAATAATGTGTGAAAATCCCACTCTGTTTTCTGTCCTTGGGCTGTGCAGTTTGGTTCTACACTTTCTTACCCCTCAGCTGCCCATCTTGCTTTCCCCACTCTCTTCCCCTCCGCCTCTCTTTCTCTGGGGGATTGAGAAATAATGTACACTAACATCACAGACCCGTGTTGTTTACATGGGGGGAAGAAGTTGAGAAAAAGTGGGAAAAAAGAAAGCGGAATCTGAAGTGAGAAATTATCCCAGTGTGAGAATCCATTACTGCAGCCTAGTTAATTGTGAACAAAGAAAGTTCTGAAGAATTATCCTGCCAATCAAACAGCTTGGGCTTTGTGATACTAAAGCCACGATCATGAACAAGGAAATAACCAAGAGGCTGATTTAAGACCTTTACAGCTTAGGTCAAGGTTAGTGCCGTCCTCTGTTGTATGCAGACGTACAAGCACCTACATCCCACATCAGCATCAACATTTGGACAGAACCATCTATGTCAACCCTGCCAGGGCCTGGATATCCTCTTGGTTATAATGTCATGGCTGAAAAATAATCAGGGGTGCTGCCATTAAGTGGATTGTACATAATTGTGTATTGTAAACATCCTCTTGGTGAGTGGGGATGCATATTGCCTGTGTATTACATTTTAATCAGGCTTTTTCATGTATTACCTATTTGCCCACTGCTGCTGTCACTTTGCCTCTTCCTTGGGTCTATAGATGAAAATGAGCCTGTAGCTATGTCTGGGCTGTACAATACATTTATTTCACAATGTCTGTCAAAAAAAAATCTGAAAGACGGATTGATCCCCGGATGATCCCCAGGATGATCCCCAGGCTGGACAGGGCTTTTCTGTGGTGAGGTTCCATGTTTCTCCCTTGTCTATGCCGGTTTCCTTGGGCACTCCATGAAACTCCTTTGGCACTACTTACATTCACTGCTAATAAGCCAAGAGGGCAATCCAAATGTTTGACATGAGATGAAACTACTACTTAAAATCTTACTTAGTCTAGTAAGTGTATTATCAACATACTGTAGGTAGATGCTGAATTGATTTGGTAAATGACATTGGGGAAAGCAGAGGGATTACAGGTACAAGTTAACAAGTTGTCTCTTATCCATCCATCCATTTTCTTCCCCTTAATCCATTTCTGGGTCAGGGGTGGCAGTCAGAGCTGCACCCAGTCCACAGAGCACCAGCCCCTCACTGATCCTCCTGCAGGTGGTGAGTCCACAGGAGCTGAGATCTATCAGTGGGGGCATCAGGCAAAGTGGGGTTAAGTGTCTTGCCCAACGACAGCAGACATCAGTAGGAGTCACGAAGTAGGTCTCATGGTGGACTCAAACCCACAACCTTCAGCCCCAAAGGTCAGTGCTCTACCATCAGAACCACTGTCGTCCCCACTCACAACTCACATTTGTTCACAATGATCATAGAACATATGTAAATGAGATCCAGGCAGGTAGTGTGTACAGGAGGATTCTATGCCCACCTAAAACAAATGTAAGACTGAAAATAGTCACAAATGCACTGCTGTACGCTTGTATTTCATAAATGATAAACACAACAAATTCAAAGTGCAGCTTTGCTTATTTGTTGCATTCTAGGAAACTCAACCGTCCCTCTCCTTGCTTTAGAACGAGCTTTCCTTGGCCAAAAAGTGGAGCCTCCCGGCACAAGTAGCTTTTTAGTGACCTTGGGGACATTTTGTACATGGATGCATCAGCTCGGTGCCGACTGCGTTCCCTGGACTCGTATCATAGAGAGCGGAGATTCATTACCATCCCGGGCCTTCACTGTTGGTTGCACACTGTCTGCTCGGTTTGGCGGGCCCCTTTGGACCTCCAGACTGCTCCATAGACAAGCTTTTATTTATTTATCAAGCCTCGGAACGGAAGTTCAAAGACGGGCTGCAAAATGCTTTCAAGGTCAAGTTTGACTGTAGTTTTCCTGTAATAGAGATTTTCCTTCAGCTAAATGCACTGCGGTGGAAAACATTACTTCAAACGTACTTAAAAGGTGGCAGTGTCGAGAACGTGACTTCTGGAAATGTTCTAGTTCAACATTGTACATTTCTCCAGTGTGGGATCAATAAAGTTTATCTTATCTTATTTTGCAGCTGAGCAAACACTGTGTTATTTTATCGTAATTCCGTGGAATCCAAGATACAAAATGGAACATATTCAGCTCAGTATGTGCAGCCAAGTCTGACTTCATGTCACAAAGTATTTTCGACAGCTTGTCTACACCCTTGTTGTAGAAAGCGCCCTGTGAACCAGTCAAAATAGAAGCCTGACTTTTGCAGCAATTACATACATTTTCTTTCAGACCAATGAAAGCTAATTTAAATAGATTTATCTCAGTCCATTACACATGTCTTTTCAAGTCTGTAGGAGAAAATGTGTGCAGTGCATTCCACTCAAGACACCATTTACTTTTTAGGTAAATGCCAACCCGCCAATAGAATTCTGCAATGGTTTTACATTCATAAGATTACGGATACCAGCTGGTGATGTCACAAATGAAATCTGTGGAGAGGCGATCAAAGATAAATATCTGTAAATGACAACAGATCAGCATAAAGTTTTACTGTGGAACAATCCAAAATTTACAGCAGCTTCCCCACAAAAGACAGTGCCATAGCAATCCACCTACTGAAAAGTCCAAGGATGATTATTGTGACACACTACTTCTGAGCCTAATTCTCTAATCTGTTGGCGAAACAACACGACTGCTGCTGTGATTGAGAGCAAACACATATTCACTTGACCGTGTGTATGTGACCTGTAATATGAAAGCACAACTGTAAAACATAATAGTTATCACACACCTACAGTACAATCTACCTTTATGACCTTCTTGAGATAAAGCCACCATCCCTCGCACGCTGCACAATGGAATGAATTCACCGGCCTTGTAATGCCGAGGTTGATAGGTCAAAAACAATGCTATGATCCGTTCACAGGGAAGGCTGGAAGTCACTGGAAGTCACAACCCACCCACACATAGACGCAAAGACTGCTCCGACGTCGGACTCGGCCTGCGCTCCCCACGTGTCACAACAGATGGATGACTTTGGACGCTTTCTCACTCCTGTGCTGATCTGTCACACCCTCACGCCCACGGCCGAGTGGAAAAAAAGAAGATTGAACGCAGCTAACTACGTCTCAACCCAAACTCGGCCCTCCACACAACACTCACACACAGCCATGAGGTTGTGTTCCGTGCGAGTGCCTGCTAACTGCTTAGTTTGATCCACTGCCAGCAGAAGGTGGAGGTTGGTTGTGCCATACATGTATAT